GTAAGTCCCAGGCTGGCTGTAGCACTCATACCCATAATCCCAGTAGATCATGAGTCAATCACAAACTCTAGAAGTCTGCTCCATGACTTACATGAGGCTTTGAGGGGACAACTAGACACAAACTATAACAATGGGGATTATGAAAAAATTTTACTCCTTTTTTTTTTTTTGGTGGTGCTAGGGCTGACAACTAAGGCCTTGTGCATGCTGGATGAGCTCTCTACTACTGTTCTACACCCCACCATGAAAACAATGTTAAAGACTGTTATGGCTTGTGTGTAGATGCCCCCCACCCCAAGCCTCATGTAGTCATAGCTGAGGCTCCTTCAGAGGTGGCTGGATCTAGAGTGTGTGTGCTGAGATTGAGTCATGTTGCAATTCTAGGCTCAAGGACACTAAGATGAAAGGTTTGAGCTACCTGCCCTAAGTAAGTAGTTGGATCAGATACAAGCAATGGAAAGACACTGTGAAGATTCCTTATTGCTTTGCTATCTTCTTCCATGAACTGCTTTTCCTCCACTATGACTGTCTGTTATGCCACCCTGCCTTGGAGCCAGCTGATTATAGACTGACACCTCTACTGACTAGGAGCCAAATATGGCTTTACCCCTTTAACTTTGGATGTTGGGGATTTTGTCTCAGCGGTGAGAGAAAAGTAACTTAGACAAAAACGGTATTAGCCATAGTCTAAAATAGAGCCAAGGCACTAAGGACACGAAGGCAAGATGCACAGGGAGCAGCCCTACAAATCCTTCCACCGTGGAGAAGTCTTCCGCACCCTTAAGATGCCCATGCAGATCTGTCGTTGATAACACACATGCTATCATCATAGATGGTAAAACCCCAGTCCACAAGAATCTGCTCTGTTGAGGGTTTCTTTATTTGATACGTAATAAAATGCCATATGTGCTTACCAAATATATTTTGATTAATAGATCGAGGAAGGTTTCTGTGCTAAAGTTATCTTAATAGACTGCTAAAATTAGAAGGTGCTAATCTTAGCATCTGTGGCAATGTGGAGAAGTGTTTGAAGTATCAGTGTTTGGAAATGACATGCAATGGAGCCTGTGAGCCACACATCCTTCAAGTAGTCACGGCTAATTTGGACATGGAATTTTGAGGGAATTTAAATTTGGGGATTTCCCGTGTGCAGCATCATTTTGCAGTCATGCACTTAGCTAAAAATTCTCCTTTTCTAGGAATGCTCAGGCTAGTGATGCGTTGTTAGTTTGGAAAGAGAATAAAGGACAAATGTTGCCATCCTTTCTTGAAGCAGACTTAACCAACTAATTAAATCCACTTTGCTTTCTGGGCTTATGGTGACTTTGTGTAATTCAGCCTGGAATCTTGTCACATCCAGATCTGTCGTTGTCCAGGTTACCATGGCAGCTAAATTTTTTCCTCTTTGTGAAATTATCCCCAGCCCTTGGCTTCAGTAAATCACATAAGCCTGTGTATTATTAGCTTAATGAAGGGACCCTTTCTGCAGGCGTCTTCCAGTGCTGTCAGGTAGCTGTCCAACTAGCATGTTGTTGCTGTGTTTAGTGTCTTATTTTCAGCATCCATCTGGAACTCCCTTACAAAGCTGGGAGATCACATGCCAGGGAACATCTTGCTGTCTCCCAAGAAAATGCATCTCCTTCTTCCTCGAATGTGACCTGTGACATCATGCTGCCCTCACCAGCCCATCTCAAGCCCCTCTCTACGAAAAGTGGCTTTGTTGCCATCTAAGCGTGCATGGTTATTGTCTGTACAATGATTCATTTTCCATGTCTGTAGCTATAGTGCTACATACACTGGGACCAGTTTCAAACTCTAATGATTAACACATGTTTATTCATTCCAAATGGAGCAGCGGTTGCAGTCCTTGCTGCACACATGTTATTGGGGTGGTTTGTTGTCGTTGTTATGTTTCCTCTCTAGATTGGTTCTGCCCATGAAACAGAAGAAGCTACTAGTGATTAACCACTGAAAGCTTTGTCTTTGCCTGCGAGGCACCGCTCTGCACTGTCCACTTACCAGTGAAGTGTGGCCCAAGACCACTCTCTGGATGCCAGGCAATTGCTGCTAGAATTTCCTCTTTGTGCCCTGTATTAAACTCCCTTCTGGATATGTGTTCCCACCACACAGTGATAGTCAGCGAATGGCAGATTTACTCTTAGAAACTCGAGGCAATAATGCAAGCCAGGAAAATACTGATGAGGAGGAGATGATCTCTGACAGAATCTCAAATATGTCAGGTAAACATTTAATTACACAAAAGCAGGTAGCCACAAAGAGGAAATTTGGGAATATATTTTTTGCTAAATGAGGTTAAACATGGGGTTGTCACCATCAGGAATTGCGGCTGCTGTTCACACTTGCTGGGTGTGCCCGGAATGGCCTGGTCAGGTTCTAGGGCAGAGATGAAAGCCACTTACCTGTCACCTTCAGAATGACCTCTAAGCCCTCAATGCAGTGACCCAGGGAGAGGGCTACATTAAGCAATGCGCAAAAAACCCACAGATGTTGGAGCACATTGTGATTTACAGAGGGACTCCTTTTGGTTAAATGATTTTTTCTCCCCTCTAAAACCCACCCTGAGGAGAAATTTCTGAGCTAAGTTGAGACATCTACAAAAGCATGGAGGGTTAAAGAGCCACTGTGAAATTTATTTCATCTCTGAATTTATAGCTTTGTTAAACAAAATGGTATAAGAACCATAAAACAAAAGAGGCTAAAAATAAAAAGGGAAAAAGGCATAACAAACAAGCAATTCCAGCCAGCTCTTTTCCCCTGCTCAGGATGAAATGAACGGAAGTAAGCAGGACACAAGATAACTGATTGTATTTTCTCAGCCAGAACAGTCTACAAATGATCATAGATAAGGAACATGTGGACATCCTAACCCCATCCTCGGACCTAAGCGCTCCTCTCCTGTCATTCACCTCTTCCCAACCTGTAGGACTTGCTCCGAGGGAGACCAGTGTTAAGTCTTACAGGAGAGGTTACCAGTGGTTGTAATTTTTTATTCACAGGGCAGTATCTAACTCACTAAGAATGCAGAGCGAATGCCAAGCCATAATCACTTAAATGCTTTATTTATTCCCTTTCTCATGTTCCATTTTTGAATGAAGACTCATAGTCTCCCTCATTTTTACCCTGAATCGTGGCTCCAGGTGGTGCTGGCCCCAGGCTCACACTCAGATGTGAGCAAGATTTCTGCTAGGGTGGATTCTTCTTCTCCATACTCTCCTGATGGTCTATAAATAGCATCACTTGTGAGGATTGTTGAAATAATTTGTTGCTATAATTATAGTGACATTTCTAGCATGTTATAATCATATAAAATGGCAAAAATAGAAGGATGCTATTTTGGATTTTTTTTTTTCCAAATCAGTTTGTATTTCAGAAAAGAGTAGGAATGCCACTTGTTTAGAGAAAGATCCATGCTATAATAGCAGAGGATAACGACCTGTGAAAAGCCAGAGTACCACCTTAGGAAGAAAATCAACTGGATACTTTGAAATTGAAATGGCTTTAGAAATAAGAAGAAAAGAAAAAAAGTCCCAGAAGTGCAATTCCATACATGCAAGAGAAGTGAAGACATGTGATGATATTATTCCAACTGAGGGTCGCAGCCAAACCAAAGTCATCCTAATTTTTCATAGACTTTTACATTTTTGATGACAGCATCTTAGCTGAGGAGTCACACATGTCTGAAAAATATCTGGGATGGTTGTATATGAGGATCTTTGAAGAAGAGAGTGTATTCTGAGTTGACAAAGTAGTCCCACTGCTTCCAAGCATGCAGCTAATGCTAACAAAATCAAGATCTAGGATAAAATAGTGTTAGCTGGTATACAATTGCCCAGTCTGGGGACTCTGTCAGAGCCATAGAGACTTTGAGAACACTTCTCAGGATTCTAAAAGGGTGTCCTGTGTCTCTATAAGCTATGTTAATTGATAGAATTGAAAGTGTCAAAGTTTATCTTGGGTGCAGGCTTTCTTTGCAGTGCTTGGTTCTCGTGCTGATCTTCTGATTGGCTAACGCCCCTGGACAGTGAAAGGGTGATGATACCTTATAATTTTTTTCACACTCTGATCAGAGTTAAACTTTTGTACTTCTTTGTGTGCTCTTTCCTTCACATAGACCATACTTCAAAAGGGCTAAGATCTTATCTGGGTTGGAAACCGCCCCATTCCTATCTCCGGCCAAGAGATTTTTAAGTAGGAAGTTGGTAGATGGTAGTGAACAGAACTCAGATGACTGAGTGATGGGACAGGGGGACTTGAGATCAATTCTGGCTTTGCAGTCTGTAAGTTTTATGAGCTTGGGCAAGCGTTCCACTTCTTGGAGCCTCCTGTTCTTTATTTACAAAATGGTTGGTTTGTCCTGAAGCCACCCAAGGGCCCCAGCCCTAAATTCCACCAAAGAACAGAAAGCAGATGCCCCAGGCTCTCCTTCCACCTTGCTCCTGAGGCCACCTGCTCAGCCCCACCTCTGTCTGCCTCTGCAGCACAGCTGGCCCTGGACACCACCCTTTCAGCCCAAGGCAGGCTCGACAGTCTAACTGGAAGGAGCGCCTCACTCCTTCATTGCACTGCACCCCACTGGACTCAAGGACTGAAGAGTGAAATTTGCCATGGCTGCTCCGTGACTGTGGACTCGGAAACCAAGGGGTGGGTGGTTGCCTTCTGTGCAGTGTGGAGAGCTGGACAAGAGACAGTCACTCTGTGTGTGTGTGTGTGTGTGTGTGTGTGTGTGTGTATGCGTGCACTGTTTATCTACAGAGATCAGGCATAGCAAACAGAGAATCCGGGCAATTCCCAGTCCTCACTGAGGGTTTCCTGATCTTGAGTTCTGTCAGGTGGCATGTATACTGACCTTAGGTTTCTTTGTTCCTCTTTTTTTAAAATAGATTTTCATGGCTCTATTGCTTATATCCAGATCCCCAGTTACTATGCACGTACATTCTTCTCAATAATTGAATATAGTTGGATTGATTTTTCAGGTGAAGTCTGTGAGAATGTTCAAGTCCTTGTCCACTGAAGCCAGGCTCAGGAGTTGTTGGGAGCATCTATCAGCACCTGTGAGATATGGCTTCTCCCTGGACAAAATGGGAGAAGGTCATCAGGCCAATCTTCTGTGCTTCTATGCAGCAGAAGCCCCATGGGACTGAGGATGAAGAGCCTTTGACCTAGGACAAGTAAATAGTCTACTCCTGAGACTCACTCCTGCACAGATGGGCCCCACCTGTTGCTTTTGGCCTGGGTAGCTGGCCCCTGCACATCTGCTGTTGTGCACAGTCCTTTCTACAAACCTCCCAGATGTCCCAGACCCTGACAGAAGTCGCCACCTTAATGAGTATTTTCTAAACCCCTGTCTATACTTGGGCTCCTCGGAGCTGCCCTATCTTCTTGTCACGCACATCCTGACTTCATATTTCCTTTCCTGATCTTATTGAGAAATGAGAAATTGGGTTACAAGTTACCTAATTCCATTAGCTTCATTATTCCTCAGAAATCGGAGTCCTGGAGAGGTAGTGCTATATAATGGAAGGAGCCAGGAGACGTGGAGGCCAAGGGTGACCATGCCATTTTGGATACATCTCCTTTCTTCCTTGTTTGTAGAATTAGAAATGCATCATAGGGGTTTTTTGGGTACTCTTACTTTCATGGAAGGGAATCCACAATTTCTAGGATCTCCGTTGTCTTGGCAGGAAGGAGTAGGGTCATATTTATTTGTGGAGCTTTTTTTTTTTTTTTTCCTATGGATCCTCAGTCTTACTCCAAGTAGCTTAAAGTTTTCACTAAATGCACCTTAAGCACAAGCTTCTGATAGATGTAGGAGGGCAGGAATGGGAGGAATGCTACCCACTGCCCTGGAAGGATGTGGCAGCCCTGGCTCTTTCACTCCAGGCTGGCACCATCCCTGTGTGCTTCTTTCATGTCTGTTCCTTTGGCAGGACTGTCAGTACTGGTCAATTTTTACATTAACTTTGTTAGGTTTTCTATGTTCCTCCTCCCTCAGGATGCTTTTGTCTCACAGACGGGCAGCCTTTTCTTTCTGCCTGCTCTGCAACTATCATCTAATCTTATGAGGAATTAGAATCCTTGAATTGTGTTTTTATTTTAATCAATGTTCTCCTTTTGCTCCATCAGGAGCCCCCACCTCATCCCGGGCAGGATGTCTCTTGAGCAATAGGCAGTGAGGCAAGACTGAGTGGCTGGACCTGGAATGCCAAGGACATGTGAGTATAATCCAGGGTTTGCTGACTAATCAATGTTGCCATGTTTGCAGATGGAATCTGGGCCTCGCTCTGCAAGGCAAGTGCTCTACCACTGCACTACACCCTTAGTCTGACATTGCTCTATTAGTGTAAACCCATGGATCCATTTTGAGCAGAACCCTTCTCTCCAGAAGACACATAGATAGTTTATTATGCAGCCTATTGGGCTCCTCGATGTGGCTGCTCTGCAAGGCCAGTGAGCAGAGGAAAGGGGATGCCTACCCCCTAGCCCAACCTTCTGAATCCCTTCATCAATTACATGTACATTGGGACCAACCGTGAATGATAATGGTGCTTCTGAAATTTAAACAAATGCTGAATACAGATTTAGGGGACTTTATTATTCCTCTTGGCTGATGACTACTGCATGTCCTTGTCAATCACCTATGAGGCTCAACTCCTCCTCCCTGGAAGTTGAAATCATACCAAAAGGAAGACTGAAAATAAAATAATTCACTGAGTAGAAAGAAGAGACTTCTTAGGACTATCAGTCATGCAGAAAGAAAATTAAAGATAATATAGGTTCATGCAATGTTATGATAATAAGAATCTTGATAATGGCCAGGAAGAGGCAATATTATTGCCTTCTTGCAAACAAGCCAAAAAAAAATAGTTCATCAAGTTTCCGTTCTATTCATAATGGAGTATTTTATGACTTAAGAAGTCCACTGAAATGCAAGACTAGGATTTTGGATAAAGAAGCCAATTTCTGTTAAATCTTTAAACTGATTTGTCATACTTTCTTTTGAATTTCCAAACTAATTTTTCTGGATCTAGGGCCTCTACTAATTTGCCAATTTTTTTTGTAATATAAGAACCATGACACACTCAAAATGACCATGTCATGTGCACAGGGTGATTTTGGCCAGCTCTTTCCTTCATCATTTTTACTATAGTTTTGGGGGACAGATTTTTGTATTCTAGGCTGTTATGGAATTTTTTTTGTCTTTAGCATCTTTGGAAATGCCTGAGGTTTGCAGGAAGAAAAGGGAAATCTGAACTCCTGAATACCAAATTTAGCTTCTATTGTAAAGTCAGAGTGGCCTGAGTGTGGCACCAGGGTAGGGACTTGCCTGGTGGGCAGTGCAAGGGGCCCTGGGTGCCACCCCTAAGACAGTAACAAACTAACAAACAAACAAAAAAAGCACAACTTACTGTGCTGAAAGAATGCTCTTTGGAACGACATTGCAAACAGTCAAAGGCCATGCTCAAGGTCTTCTGGTACTGAGGACAAGGGCTCCTGGGTGGCTCTCCTCTGACCCCAAATGAGTAACCATTTCATTTATGGGATTCAGTTTAAGGAACATGTTTTAGAAGATAACCAAAGTGAAAAGAAAAGCCTAAATATTTGCCTCTTAATTTAACTGGCTTTCATTCTCTCTCTCTCTCTCTCTCTCTCTCTCTCTCTCTCTCTCTCTCTCTCTCTCTCTCTCTCTCTCTCTCTGTTAAATAACATGCATCACATATGTTGTCATTTATAATCTCAGTTATTATTAGCAATTCTGGTGATTTTCACTGAAGGTTCTTATTAATTATTATAAGTGGTACACTTCTACCTACATAACATAGCACCAAATATAAACAAGAATTTCTGAAAGGAGAGAAACTAAGAATTGGTGTTTCATAGTATCTACATCTTAGATATTAAAATCTTCCCATACTTTTCTTCTTTACACAAAAGGTGCTAAACAAGTACATTTCAATGTCCTCATATTTCTTGCTTTGATGTTTATAAAACCTGTGTTATCTAAATTTTTAGGTTTATATAGTTAAAGTTAAAAATATATACTTTTATGGATGTCAGCTAGTTAATATAAGTTCACACAATCATTCGAACTGCTTGCCTGCACACTGGGCAGGGCTTATTTCTTCTCCTCAGCTTCTTTGCGCATGTGAAACATGCCATAAGATGTCCTGTTTTGCCATGAAAAATGCAACCATTTTTAGGTCTACCTTAGCAAATCGCACAAGGTTCAGTGGCATGGAAGGGAAAACTGGATTCCACGCTTTCTTCGTCTTGTGTTTCTTCCTTTTCAAATTCTTTAACTTCTTGATTGCTACTAATAATGCTATGGAAAGTAGATGGCTGTGAGTTGTCTACAATCTTTTAACCTCACCTTCTTGTGACTGGGTTGCTTGTGTGACTTTATCATTATTTTCTTTAACAAATGACTCTCTGGAATCATTTGCCAAAGCCTTTCTACCACCAGGTACATCCAAGCCCTCATCTGCTTGTTGGGTTTTTTAATTTGGGTCTTTCAGAGATCCCCCCCTTATCCTTCCCTTTGTCTTCAGGAAGCCAGTTGTCATGAAGGGCCCAACACCTGCTGCGGTATGATGGAAGGGGAGGATTCACTTTATGCATGAAGCACACTTCCAACAGTCAGCTAAGGAAATCTCAGGATCTTCTTCAAATGAATCTGTATCACTTTCACCTGTCTAAAACACAGTAACTCAATATACCTCATCATCTTCATCTGAGAGTCCTTATCCTTCTATACTAAGACTATAATCCTCTGAGTCGAGAGACTCAACTTCAAATTCTACACTGAACTGATCAGAAACTGAATCCTGATTTAACCAATTACCTGAATGTTCACTTACACCATCATCCACATCCGGATTTGATAGAGTCTCTGTCGAGTTCCTGCTATTACTTTTTCACAACATATCTCCCTTAGTACACATAGAGCCAAGCTTCCATCAAAAGAAAGAGAAATACTATCTGATTTGTGATGTTTTCTTTGTTGTTCATAGACTATTCATCTGAGCTTTCTTCTGTCTCACTAATTGCTCTTCTTCTAGATGAAGTAGATGGTCTAGAATTCAAATCTGAAGATAAGGATTCTCTGCTTGTAGGTTTTGCTCGGGGGCTTCGCATTTGCTGCCATCTTCAAGGAGACATGTGATTTCGCTCACAGATGTGCCAGAGTCTGATGGTTCCTGCTGATTGATTACTATTGAGTTTCTGTAGGTCATGGTATATATTTTCCTGTGCTCTTTCACAGAGAAGCTTGGCACTCCAAACAAATCTAGAAGTTCATTCGGACAATACACAATATGTTGTTGTTTCTCATTCTACAATCTTTTAGCCATAATATACTGTCCAAGATAGAAGATGACTTCTATCATAGTATAAGTGTCTTTTTTGGGCACCAACAGACTTTAATAACTTCAAAAACAATGGCTTTGGTCTAACCAAGATCTCTTATTCTGAAGCAGGAATCTGTGAGGTGCTTACGGCACCATCAGTAGACACAGATATGTTGTACATTGGCCTGGATCAAGATAGAAAACTTTCTATACGCCAGTGACCACAGCGGTCTGTCCCCAATGGCCAGTGGACACAGCTGCTCCTCACCGCATGGGCTTTTTCACCCCAGGAGTGGGGCCTGAGGTCCCCCCAGATTGCCCCAGTTCACGTCACCCAATGCATGGAAGCCTGACACCCTTGGCCTCGGTGACTACCATGGGGCGCACAAGGAAGGTGGCTCCCAGTAGCTGGAGCGGCTGGACCTCCGCCAGGAAGGGGGTGGGGGTCAGGACTACCCTGCAGACTAGACTTCTTGTCCCCTCTTCCAGTCACGGCCACGCAGGGCTTTACACAACCAAGCCCTGTGACGTGTGCACCCATCCCTTATGGAGAGTGGGCCGGCCTGCTGCTGGCTGGCTGGCTTGCTTTCCTTCTTCTTCTTTTTTTTTTTTTTCTTTCTTTCTTTCTTTCTTTCTTTCTTTCTTTCTTTCTTTCTTTCTTTCTTCTTTCTTTCTTTTTCTACTTTCTTTCTTTAGATAGGATCTCACTGGAACTATCTATCAGGCTGACCTTGAACTTTCTAATTAGCCCAGATTGACTTAAACTTCCTTAGAACCTGGCTCAGCCTCCCATGTGCTAAGTTGATAGGACTTCATTACCATGCCTCGTGGGGAAAGATGATTAGACTTGAAGTGATCCGTGGTCTCCGGGTAGGTACTTGGTCTTCATGGCCCTTTGTAGGAAGCATATCTAAGAAACAGCAATATTAGCCCGGTAGGAGGACGCATTTTCCAGCTTGGATAGTGGTCACCCAGGAGACATCTCTGTGGGCCCAAGTAGAAAGAAGGTGCTTTCAATTCCAAAGACCTTCAGGTCTGAGACAGCCACTATCAGCTTGACCCAAAGTGTCACCGGCAGCAAAACTGGTCAGTCGAGTTTGGGAGCAGCTGTGTGACCTCACAGAATCATGGACCTTTGAAGTGAACTGAAAGCAAGCAAAGCTGGAGGGTTCATTCAGCTTGTCCCTCACTTTCACTAGAGTTGGGCAGAGGAAGCATCTACGTGGTCAGACAGCACAGTCAGATAACCCCACCACCTGTCCCCATTAGCATGCAGCTTGCCACCACTGCTGCCACTGCTGAGTCAACTTTGATACCCTGGACAGACAGGAGCTTCTTCAGGAGTAGCCAGTACAGTCCCTGCACTGCATACCAGCTCTTGAGGAGATGCTAACATGACTGTGTCTCCAAAATGCCTACTCTACTTCTGGGAAGGAAGGGAGAGAAATTCTTGAGGCAGTAGGTGGGACAGACGGCAGGTAAAGGAGTACATGAATCAGAAAGGCTACAGAACATAGGAGGGCTGTCCCCAGTGGGTCAGTGTGCAGGAGTGCTAGCCGGGAGCAGACAGGAGGAGCAGTGTGGGTCAGTAATCTTTCTGGGGTCCCATGAGTCCTCCTGTATGTGGCTCCACTCCCTGGTCTGAGCCAATCCTCAGAGCTTCCACCAGGCTATGTGCCACTTACTTGGGCTTGGCCGTGACCTGGCCCAGGCAGGGTAATTGGGAGAGAGGAGAGGGAGGGTGCAGAACCAGGCAACAGGGCTACTGTTTGCTTTCTTTTGCTGGAGGGGCACAGAGCCAACTGGTAACTCTTAACTTCCAGACTTTCATTGTTTGAGAGCTGCTTTACTGCTGCAAAAACCAATGT